CAAAAATAGCGAAAATCTAAAATTGAAAATATGAAAATTAATTATTTGAAAGCCTAAACGAAGGAATTTGGCTAAAATCACGAGATCTCGGGTTTTGCCCCGAGTTCAATTTTTCAGGCTGTTTCCAATCAACCTGCCAAATTTCAACCAATTCCGACACCGTCACGCCAAATGACCAAATTGTCCCTAACGCGATCTATCTTCGTCAATTTCCTGTCCTACATCATAAGTTGACTAGATAACACTGGACACTATTGCAACACATTTGAATATTCTTAAAATTTGTCTTTTAACCTGATTCTTATGATATAATGTACGTACTGCCACAAGAAGCAACAGAAGAGCTTATTTTTTAGGATAGTCAGACTTACAATTTAATATTGCATATCAAATATGTATAATGTTGAAGGCTACAACTTAGAAACCAGTTGAAAGAATGATTGAATGTTTCAAATTGAACTAAATTTATCCTGCAATAACACCACATTTGGCGCAAATATAAATATGAATGAATATTCTTAATCGTACTCAAATAATCACTCTTTGTGATCTCTAGATTAAAGTCTTGTCGATGCATGAATTTTAAGCCTTATCGAAGAGCTAAAGCTTCACATCACCTATGGGTTGAGCCGTGTTCTTTTCAGACATGTTCGGCATGCTAGCTTGCACTTTTATGAGTTGTATTTTTATGGAACTGGACAATTCGACCAAGAATAGAGTAGCGTGGGAGATGCAGATTATTCTCCTTCTTTTAGGGTTTTTTTGTATATATTATTTATTATTGTAATTATTTAAAAACTTGATTTTTAAACCCATTTTTTTGAGGATAATTCTACTTGTACAACCTCGGTTGACAACCTCTCACATGTGTGTTGGGTCCGCGTGTTTAAAAAAAAAAAAAAAGTGAAACTCCCATGTGAGTGGTTGTCAATCGAGGTTGTCAACCTCGATTATACAACTAGCATGGTCTTTTTTTTTTGAATATAAAGATTAAAAAAGAATATATGTGCAATGGTGAAAGCGCGCCGCTTAATAACTTGAGGATGAATTTGCCACATAGTCAATAGTTGAGAGACCAACTTACTATAGAAGCAATAAATTGACGTCTATATCTGCAAATCCCCCAAAAATAGTGCTGCATTTTGAATGCTTAATAATCTGCAATAAAAAAATGATTAATACATAGATATTGACATAATGTGAGTAAGATGAGACCTAAGATCTCACATTATGTCAACCGCAGTGTACACGGGAGATTTTGCAAAATAACCTATGAATAGTGGCTTTTTAAG